CAAGGAATGGCCTTTTGACCCTTAGAGTAATGAACAACAACACACACGGAACAATTATATATATATATATGTGTGTGTGTGTGTGTGTATTAGGCCTATGTTCCGGACTATGGTCCCTCAGATTTTATGTTTGTGTGTCATTAGTTTGTGTTTGTTGGTTTGGGGTTTGTGTTTGGATGTGTTGCTTTTGGCTGGTATGCTTCATTTTTGGTTTTTGGTTCAGAACATAGTCTACCAAATGTTGGTTGTTTTGGTGTTATTTTTTTGTCGGCTTTGTTGTTTGTTTTGTTATTGCTGGTTCGCGAGTTACTCTTGGTTTGTGCATAACGTTCGGTAGTGTCTGCTGTGCTTTTTGCTACTTTGATTTTTGTGATATTCATGTTCTTTGCAGGTATGGTGATAATGATTTCGACGGTACTGTGGACAAGTTGCTTCCTCGTCCCCCCTTTCCGTCGTAATATAGTAAAAGGTTGGTCACTAGGGGGTACCATATCTATATCTATATATAACATTTGCATTTAGCATTGATGTCAGGTTTTGTGACAAGGGGAGGAGGCGTGTTGCTCAGTAGGGGACTTCTAGTGCTTCTGTGTCTTGGTCGTCGGGTAATCGGAGATAGCCCTGGCAAAAAAGTTTATGATCCCTCACTCTTGAGCCTAAACAAAACCTAAAACCCTAAACCCTAAACCCTACAAACCTGAAGCTACGAAACCCTAAGCCCAAGGCTCTGAGTCCGAAACCCGCCCGAAGCCCTATGAACCCCACACACTCCATGAAACCCACTTCACAACCTCCGGGTATGCCCTGGAACCCCGGGACAAGCCTTGAACCCTGAAATCCGAAACCGTTTCCTGACTCCCTCCCGTCCTTCACAGGGAGTGCTTAGCTCATGATACATATGCATACAGGCACATCTATATATATAAATATAAATAGAAATATATATATATATATATATATGTTTTAAAACCGGGCAGAAAATACAGAAATACTTGAATATTCGCGTGTATATATATATATATATACATGTACGTATGTATGTATGCATGCATGGATGCATGCATGTATGTTTGTATGTAAGTACGTATGCATGTATGTATGTACGTATGTATGTATGTATGTATGTCCGTATGTGCGTATGTATGTATGTATGTACAGATACACATACTGATTGATTGATTGATTGATTGGTTGGTCGGTTGGTTGGTTGGTTAATTGTTTGATGGATTATTGATTGATCCGTTGGTTGCTTGGCTGCTGGATTGATTAACGGGTAGGCTGATGGACAGATGCATGGACGGATTGATTGATTGATTGATTGATGTGCTGAGTGATTGATGGGCAGTTGGGGGCTCAAGTAGATTCGAACCCGAACCACCCAGATCGAGGAAAGGCAGGCCTGTCTCGGGACAAACCAGAACACCTCCCCGTCGTCGCTGGTGATGATGCGTGGCTGACTGTCCGGCTCGGAGCTTGGGGTTAACGAGGCTGTAGGATTTGAGGCATCCGGCGGTTTTAGGTTGTAGGCAGGGTTTCTTGAGGTTGAATAGGATGTTACAGTTTAGGGTCGGAAGCTCTTACCCTAAGACTCAAAATAAATAACCTCAAAAAGCTGATTTAGTATGGTCTTCAAGCACAAAAGCCTTTCTTTGGCAAAGCCTTCTTTATCACTGCACAGCTCGCCGCTCCCTGCCACCCGTCAACCTGAGATTGAAAGCTTTGAGGGTTTCGGGGTTTAGGTCTAAACCCAAGCTCTCTGAATGCCGAGCCACGTATGCTATATGAGTGGTTGTCAAAATTATGGCCCCTTTTTGGATCCTTATTATAACACGGCACCTATTATTTAGGGTACCCAAAAGTCCCAAAAGGGACCATGATTTTGACAACTACTCATATGGTTTATGCTTGGCCTCCTCACCAAACTGAGGGCAGGGCCATGTACCCTGGACGCACCCTCAGATCGAAACCGATCGCCCGAAACCGTCAACTGCCGCTCAATGGTTGTAGGGTTCTTGTGATAACCTTCAAACATACTGGGCTAGAGTCTGCTTGAACTATGCACGGGTTTTATATCGGGGGTGGGGTTCTATCAGTACTCGTGATCGATACTTCCATCCCTAGTGAACTTCAACACAACTTGCAAGTTTCTACAGACCCTAGCTAAGACCCAGAGCCTTAATGTAGGGCCTTAACAATTAGAATGGGGTTTTGGGGGTTCCTTACTATAGTTATAGTGATAGTATAATATAGCAAGAACCCTATTCTAAATATTAAGGTCCCTATAGTAACCATAAAGCCAACAACAATGCCACTCGAGACCCCACTGCAGCGGGGCAAGCGAGTTTTTCAGGGGTAAAGTTGCTCCCAGATTGATGTGAAGGTGATGTCACATGGTGATATCATATATTCAGTCTTTTTCCTCCTGCTCCTCGTACTCCTCATTATTCCCACTGCACTGAATCTTGACTTCTGTAACAAACTCCTGTCAAGGCAGGCACCCTTCAAGAAAAGAGTTTAAGGTCTCAGTTTAGGGTTTAGGTCTACCGGCGGTACAATATTGACGCGAGAAACTGGTGCACATAGCTCTTACGTATCCCTAAACTCCACTGAACCCCAAATCTAGGGCCGTATCAATAAAAATCGGGCTCGCGCAGGTATGCTACTTCATTACACTAATCGGGTATCCTATAATATAAGGAAATGCTATGACAGGGTTAAGGCATTTAGGGTTTCGGGGTTTAGGGCTTAGAGGTCCTATCCAGCCCGATGGCAGCTAACCTCGCAGAGGCCTGTGACCCTAAGACCACAAGCCACATAAAACCCTGATGCTGGACTACCCCTGTTAACAAAACCCTGTACAACTGCATTGAAGCCCTAAACCTTAAACCGTAAACCCTAGCCCCCAAACCCGAACCCCTAAACCGTGGACGCCTCGGCACCGGGCCAGAATGTTCCCGTCGCTGCGCGGCGGAGGCCGGGACCTGTCCGGAGTTTGATAAGGCTACGGGCTATCAGGGTTCTTAACAGACGATTAGTCATTACGAGGGGCGTCAGGCTTTCGAGTGGTTTAGGGTCTAGGGTTGCAAGGGTTTCGTGGTTGAGATGGTTGGTGTGGGGTTTTCAATTTAGGATTCTTGAGGCACTGAACTTCAAACACCCATCCTTCGCTCGCCGTGTCGAGCAAGCGAAAGCCTTGTTTCAGTGTCGGTGCTAAGCTGAAGGAACCCGTCCTTATAAGCAGTTTACCCTAAGGCTCCATGTGCTCATATAGTATATACTTAGGCCTGAAAGGGGTTCCTATTTAGGTACTCTAAGTCCAGAGCGTATACCCTTTAAGGGCACATGGAGCCTCAGGGTTAAGGGCTCGAGCGGTGAGGTGAGGTGAGCATCGACCGAGGTACGAGCCTGGCGTACGAGCCTAACAAAAGCTGGGTTCTTGTTAAGGGATTTAATTTAAGTTACCATAATCGGGTTCTATAGTAAATAATAGGGTTTCCTTATTATGGTAACTTAAATTAAATCCCTTAACAAGAACCCAGAAAGGGTGGCCCCTCCGGCGCAAAGCCGAAAGCGCCAGCCCCAGCAACACAACGACAAGCAACAGCAACGAAACAATGACAGCAGGAAGCGACAAAACCGAGGATGATGCGCCACACACCACTGCCGTTGTGCGAGATCTGCAGTGTCTGGCAAATCTCGGTCACAAATCTGCCTGCCGCGCCTGTGGGGCCCTGACCTGCCATGAGCGTCACCGAGGCCTGCCACTTGCGACCCGCGTCCGGAGAAGACCCTACTCCCCGGCCCGGGGGCTGCCAAGAACTGCGGCTGATGGTCGAGGTGCTCGTCGGCTTAAGATGAGGAGACCCTCCCCAGCTCAGTGCCACCTCCGGGGTCCTCCACCACAAACCATACATACAGCGATTGGATATGATATATAAGGAAATATGTTTTGCGAATTAGCTAGACCCCTGCTGTATGACAGCTGCATCAGCTACATTGGCTGCACAGCATCGTAACATAGCGGCCTCAGTTGCATCAGGGCTTGAGATTGGGGATACGGCTTTAGTAATCTATAGTATATCTACACCGGGGTTATAATGGGATATCGTTACGTTACAATTAGTACTCTATAGTAAAACTACATAGGGAAGTATACTGGGATATCATTACGAATCACAGAGACCGCAATCAGTTCCCAGGTTTCAGGAGCCTTCCCTCTCGACTGTTAGGCCTAAGCCACCCAGCCCCAACATACGCTTCAGAGGTTTTAGGGTTTAGGGCTTAGGTTTGAGGCACCCCGCAAGCCATGAAACCGAGATAGCTTTGTTTTGCTATGATTTCCGTATTCTGGCCCCTCAGAAGGCAGTGTTTTCCCCTAAACCCTAAACTAAAACCCTAAACCCTAAACTAAAATCTACAGTGCCTCATCGATCTCCTCCAAGTTCTGCTGCCTGCGAGACGAACGCGTCGGAGGGTTTAAGGCTTCTGGAGGCTAAGGGCTTGGTGCTTATGGAGCTTCAGGGGTTTAGGGGTTTAGGGCCTATGTGCTGAGCGGTGAGAACCCCGAGTCGTCAAAGGTTGAGGCTTGCCTCTTTGGGGTTTAGGGGGTTTTGGTCCCTTTCAGGTAGACGCTCATATCGAAGGTTTTCGCGGTAGTTGCATGAGGCCTCTAGGAGGGCTGTTTGAGGACTCACGTGGAAGTACTGTCCTCGAACCCCCAACTCTAAGTTAAACCTTGATCCTTACAGCTCAAGCCACCTCCGTCCAGAACATTCTGAGAATGTGGCAAGGCGAGCAAGCCTTGGCCTTCTTATTCTCTAAGGATCCATGTACTTGTACCTACATATTATATACTTTAGTGGCCGTAAGGGTTTCCGATGTCGGTACCTTACGGCCACGTAGATTGTTGGAGAAAAACCGCATTGAGGGTGCAGTCCTTTGTTTGTCTACATCCGATCATACGAAAGCCCGTAGGACGCGCTATCCGTAACTAAATTTCATTTCTGTTTGACCAAGCAGTAATAAGCATAAGTATTCTGGAGCAAGATAAGACAATAGCTGTCCGGGAGTGTGGTGGTATGATTGTCACTAGGTTATAACTGCTTACTGTTATTGTTGCGCCCTGCATTCTTGCGTCGCAGTCTTCCCACACGCGAAGCTGCCGCCAGCAAAACCTCAAGCCCTTAATCCTAAAGCGGTTGGACTCTCACAACCGCGCATGTAATTCGAAGAGAAACTTTAACGGCCCCGAAGGTTTCGATTTTGGGGTTTAGGGTTCAGGGTTAACTACCTAGACCCTCCATCTACCCTCTATTATACCCTAAATACCCTTAATTAGGGATCCCTTACGCCAATTTGAGGGTCCTTGGCGGGTCCGGGTAAACTCTTGCTCTAAAACCTTAACCCTGCCGCACACATAGCTCTTTCGGACTGGTGCCGCGCGTTGCAACTTGTCTTTTGGTTGAGGGGGGGGTTAGGGGGGTAATATAGTAGGGGCCTCAATAATCACAACAGGGTTTGAACGAACGTCTAACATGTGGTGTGGGGCCCTCAGGAATAATATAGGTAATCATTCACGCTTCCATCTGAAAGTGTTGTCTCTTCGGTCGTCAGGCCTTTCTCCGAAACCCAACACCCTGTATCTTGCTTTCAGGCGGGGAAGGATGCCCCAGCCTCCGCGACATTGCCTTGAACTTGTAGACCATGCTAGTCAAAGCAGTGGACAGCTGATACCTCGTCATCCATGGAAACCATGATATATTGGCCTTAATGGTTAGAATTTGGTTTTGGGGTATTCTATACTATACTCAAAATAAGGAACCTCCAAAATAGTATATTGGTAATTACTGAGGCCCCCATAATACACGCTAGGCTGCACCACCTAACCCCCGCTCCCGCCCCTCACCCGCTGACTGCACTGGCCTCATTCTTCTGTACAACCCATAAACCCTGAAGCCTACCCTAAAGCCTAAACCCCAAAACCCGAAAGCGTAAATCCAAAAAAAGCGCAAGATTTCGGGTACTCCGCCGATGGGTGTGGCGATTGAATTGAAAACGCTCAACTTGGGTTTTGGGGATTTTTGCCTCTCTCGAAGTCCCTATATAATTACAGTCTAGTATCCCCCCCCCCCCCCCCCCCC